AAACTGACGATAACAGGCTTATTTGCCTTAAGTTGAGCTCTTCGTTGGTACAATGTTTTGGAGTTGTCATGAATTTAGGATTCATCTTCGCCGATTCGGGCTTCGCATACCTTTACCTCCAGGTAAATATCTACTTCTTTTTATCTGCAACTATGTGATTATTATTAATATTATATCTCTAATTTTGATCAATTTATCTGAAAACCATAACGAATTTTATTACATTTTTGGTTTCAATTCGAAGTATTTCAAGTTTTACGATGATTTAACATCACACCATTTTGTGGTTGTTATCTAGGTTAGCAATAACATTTAACACTTTTTTTAAATTCTTCAAGGAACAGACATTTTTTGCCAAAATGTAATGACGGTTCTTGCAATTTTGTGGTCATAAAACTTAATAGAATTTTTTTTTAATTTATGGATGAAACGTAGCTATCTTAAACACTTATTTTAAAGTTTTTTGAGATTCACTTAGTTTAAACGAATCGGAAATTGAATTACCAAAACGAATAGGTCGTAAAGCTTTCTTAAAACTCATAACTTTTGTAACATTTTAAAACTTTGATATTATTAAAGTAATAAAATTTAATAATTTCTTTGAAAGATTAAGATGATCTTTAAAAAAATATGTCCAAACTTTATGAACACAGGTTGTTGTCCGATGACATCACGCGGCAATACTGCAATAACGAACCCAAGGTTCTCCTCTCTTTCTTGCTCGGGGAGAAAAGACTATGAGAAAATAACTCGGTCCAACGGTTGACAAGAGTTATAGACCCGCATTAGCATACCCGAAGACCGCCGTCGCCGCCGAAGAAGACGGTTCAGAGATCGGGTCTTGGTGTGTTATTTTAAAGCCTTCCGAGGCGCTTAGTCATGCAGAAAAATTTCACTCAGCTTCAAAGGAAACAGAACGAAACTTGGGACTCCCTCATTAATATTATCATTGAATAAAATCGAGATGTGGTTTCTTTATGAAATTTTTTCCGCTATGTTTAGCAAAAATGGCCCAAAAAGTCACAAAATTGCACTCGTAAACGTTTAATTAAATTAATCCCGATTTAATGACGTTTAAGTGGAGACGATTAAAACTTTCTCCTCACGTGGAAGTGCTTTGATATGGTTTTTCAACTCGGTTAATGTGATAATTATTCGAGAAAAACTGAAAATAGGTAACATTAACTACAGTTATAATGGTATAATAGGATTTTGTTGGATTATGCAATGGCTTAGATAATAAGATTAATATGTTAATAAGACGAAAATTAAGATTTAAATAAAGATTTCGTTATGAGTTTGAGTAAGATTTTGTTTTGAATTTCAACAAGATCTTTTTATATTTGATTATTATTTTTAATCCGGAAACGAAAAATTTTTATCTTATATCACATAATAATTACTTTCAAATCGATTCATATCGAATTATCTCTTTACAAAGAGGAAGCGCTTGTATTTAGATTCAGTGAACCTAAACGTTTATAATTTCCGTCGTGTTTATCCAATTCATTCAAAAATAGTGCCGCCTATTTATAAAAGGAGTTGAGTTTACATCGGTTTATCACTATTTACAAATTATCTTGACTCGTGCCAATCAGTTTGAAGATGATAACGTTTTATTAGATGATTCTTTATATTCAAATTAAAAAAAAAATTTTTTTAATCGATGCTGATGGTGTTAATTGAAAATTAAATATAAACCTACGCTTTGCTATATCGGCATTCTTAAGCAGGTGTGCTGAATGTTTTTTTATTATTATTAAATTTGCTTGTTCATTGAAACAACCCACGTTAAAAAATAGATATCAACCTAGAAATTTCAATTAAAATTTATTTCTTCACACCTGCCATATTTCTAGTCGTGTTAAAAAAAATTCTGTTCAACGCTTTTTTTTAAATGTTTTGTAGCAAAATTTTTGTTGTTCGATTGGTTCGGTTAAAAATGTTAATGGAACTAGACCGCAATTTCGCAAAAAATTGTATCGATTACTGTTGTGGTAGTTTTGCCGGGGCAATGACACTATAAATTTCAGCAGATTTACAAATTGGATAACGTAAAAAGCGGTCGATTTAAAAGAGCACATTTTTTTTTCAAACACGGTTCGCGAACCTCTCAATAGTTAAACATTTTTTCTTACTTCACGTCTTAATTTGAGATTAAGAGACTTTTTTGATAAATTTGTTTTACATTTTCTGCATTTTTTAAATATTTTTTGAAATTTTTTTGTATTTTTAGTAACAAGGAAATTAAATTATCAGCGAAAATTATAACATGAATAACTCTCAGATTGCTTGCGTCATGTTCACACAAATCAAAAAGTGAGAATGCTCGCTCAACGTTTTGTTAATCAATCAACTTATTGAAGTTTGCAAAATCAGTCTATTTGGAGCAATACCAATTTATTTGCATATGGTTTTGGCTTTCTATGAATTAGGTCTTTAGAATGACCCATTGGATTGGGTTGGCCCTCTTTTATTTTTCCACTGAAAGTATCTTGTTTGTTGCCTCGATTTGTTTGATTCATTTTTATGTCCTGATTTTATTTTAGACGAAATCTTACCATTATCTGATGTGACACAGAAAATCCTTATATTTGTATATTTGTTGACCCACCATTTTAGCCAGTTTAAAAATAACACAATGTGGAAAAGCACGTACAATAGCTAAGTTGTGAATGAATTGTTGTCACCTGCAACAAAAGGATAAATTTCATGATTCATCAAGAAATGCGAAATGATAACCAATATAATTATAAACATAGAAGATAACTTTGTTAATGATATAAAATGTCTTTGTCAAATGCTGGTTGATTCTTAAGATTATTTTTATTCAATAACGTGAACTTATCTGTAAGTTATTCTGAACTTATTACTAGGTATAAAGAAATGGTTCCTTTTTAAAACAATGTATCTCCTTCGATTTTTTGAAAAGTGGTTGGAGATGTACCTTAAAATTTAAAAAACTACATTTTAACTTTTTTATAGAATTTTGTAATAATAACGTAAACTTTAAACAATCATTCTGAACTTATTACTAGGTATAAAGAAATGATTTATATGTCAAATTAAAGAGTAAAGCTCCCTCTTTAAAACAATGTATCTCCTTCGGTTTTATGAAAAGTGGTTGAAGAGGTAGCTTAAAATTTAAGAGACTAAATTTTCACTTAAATAAAAACTCTAGAAGTTTGGAAACCATCTGGTGTGTTCAACAAACATACCAACACCTCCGCACAGGATTATTAAGTCTATTGACAATGAAAGTGTTTGAAGAGGTCGTAGTTAATCAGATATCTAGTCTGTAAATACGTCCTTTGTAAATGTTTATGACATCTAGAGATTTGCTTTTCATCTCATTTTGGCTTAGGTTATATTTTTGGGTTGATGCAAAAAATATGAAATAATAAATCTGCTAAAAGAATGATCATTTCTTTGATAAAAACGTTAAAGTTTGAGCTTATATTATTTTAAACATTTTTTATTGGTGAAACTTGTAGAAATGCATCGTTTAGCATCAACCAAGTGCTATGTTTTTCTTTAAAAACAGATTATGGTATGTTTAGTTTATTTGCATATGTAATCTCTTGATGCGTAAAAGCAAGAGTTTCGAATTTGCTTTCACTTTTGCCTTAACAGATTCTTTCTGCCATACTGTGTCCAGAAATATGTGCATTTCTGATAAACAACTTTGTATTCGAAACGATTATCTGAAGTCAATTCAAAACTTATTATATAGAAAATACTTATTTTCTGGAAAAGACAGCAAAAATATTTTCTTATGATATAGTTGAAATGTTGATTCGTTTAACATCACTCTACTGCATGGCTACTTTTGGATTCTTTTTCAATTCATCGTTGTGATTGATGACATTCACCTTTCGTCTTTGGTAAATTTTTCTATATCTTTATTTTTAGTTAATAAATTAAATTTTAAAAACATCTAGTTCAACAACCTTTTTATCCAACTATTACAACAAATTTTTTCTTTTCTTGCTTCCTTTCTGTTGATAAATTTCTCGGATGTTTCTTGTTCAACCACACAATTTGATAAATATGATTAATTCGTCGTCGTTATTTCCGTTACGTGTCCAACCAGCAAACACAGTAGGGTTTTCCCGTCTTATTACCAAAGTCTATAGAATTAGTTTAGTGAAGCAACAAAAACCAGTGTGGTGAATAATAAGTTTTATTATAATTGAAGATTTACTAAAAATCTTTTGAGAGGATATCGCTTTTATTTAACGTAAGAATTAAAACTTTAAAGTTTAAATCCGCGTAGACGGTTTTTTTAATGCTTACTCAGTAAATAAAACCGTTTGGAATCTAGATCGAGATATGAATGACCCATTTACGTAACCATATGTAATAAAACGACTAAGAAACCGCCTTAGAATAATTAAGAACGACTCGAATAAATAAAATTTACGCTTTGCAACTTTGCTAAATACGTTTGGGTTTTCTTAAGAAAACTCTTCGTTGAGTGTCTTCAACCAAAAAGATCTTTCTCTTTGACGACCATCTCTTCTCTCCTTGTTGGCATTTAGGTCAACGAGTTCGTGGTAGTCATAGACATATCAGATTGTGGTCAGATCACGTGAAATACCGGCCTCAAAGTCAGGTCGACCGCTAATTAGGAACAATTAAAACATATTCCACTTTGCAATTAATCCTTTTTAGTTGCACGTTTATAACAATAACAATTCAATAAGCTTATTATTTCCTTACACATAAAAGATCATAATCGCATCGCATCTACTATTGAATTATTTATAACGAAAGGTTTTAAATTTTAAATATTATTATGTGCGATGAATAGGTGATATAAAAACGTGGTTTTCTCGGTTAATCCTTTTATTAAATGATTTCTCACGGTCTTACAGCATTACAATGAAAGTCATACCGTTAGTTTTACTGTAATTTTTTTATTGTTATACATATTGTAGCAGTTATCTTTTTATTTATATTTAAATAGTATTAATTTTATATTATTGTCTTTGTTTTAGATTTATTCGGATCCGGAATCGGAGAAGGCAATTATGAGCTCAGTTGTCTATTGCATACATCACAAAGAAGGTTGCAAATGGTCTGACGAGCTCCGCAAATTGAAGGTCAGTTACATTTATTTTTCCATGTAAGGTGAGAGAGTACTTTGTATGTTTGTATCAGCATTTTAAAGTTTCAATAAGTTATTTAGTTTGTGGTACAATTTTATTTTAACTACAAATTCTTTAGATGCAATTATTTTCATTCAACCGTGACTACAGCAACAAACATTTATCCTTGTGTTTCCAAGCCGATATCTTAGTTGTCGTTAGAGGTGGTGAAATATTAAATACACCACTAGAAAGCCTGATTTTGTCTTCATATAAGTATTGTCCTGTCAATATCATGATATCAACAGCAGGATAAAAATCCCCGTTTACCGAATACACCTTAAAATGATCAAATTTGAAGTCAGTGTGCAACCGCTATGCAACCGAATTTAAGAAAAAGCTTTATCAATTTGAAAAGAACACACTTTAAGCTATGTAAATCCGGGTTTTGTCCGGTCAATATCTATTGGCGTTGGCCAAAAAACACACCTAATAAATAACCTTACACATAGAATCGGTAAATTGACCTTTCTCAGTATAACTCTTTTATTGCATAGGAACAAAAAACTAAAGCAGTATCAACCATACAGGAAATTTTCCGCTCTATGCATTGGTATATAAATTTGGTAGATCGCATGGCTGCACAAGCATGATGTTAATGACAGTAATGATGCTGTAATCATTTATATACGGCAATTATACGCGGTTTTCGCAGTTTTTTGGGGGAAAATGCTTGTGTAACCTTGCGATCTACTAAAGTGGTATACCACTGTATACAGCGGAAAATTTCCTATACATTCTGTATAGTTATGGAGTTTTATCCGTATCATATAAGAAAGTTATGAATAAAAACGTAAATATACGCGGTTTTCGCAGTTTTTCGGTGGAACATGTTTGTGTAACCATGACATCTACTAAAATTACATACCATTGTACAGAGCTGAAAATTTCCTATACATTCTATATGGTCCCGGAGTTTTTTAGTATCATATAAGAAAGTTATTATTCCTAAAATGATTTAATGTGCTCCAAAAACGTTCTACAGAAAGGAATGGTTTTAAAATATCATAATCGATTTTATTCGACAAAACCCGGTTTTAGATGAAGAAAAGATCAGGCTTTTTAATGGCGTACTTAATATTCCACTATCTCTAAAGACAACGATGATATCGGCTAGTAAAGTAAATGGAAAAACAAGGGTAAAAGGTTGTTGTTGTAGTTGTACGGAGTTTTCATTCATATTAATTAATCTAGGAAAGAAATTAAAAACTATTCAAAATTTAAATTGCTTTACAAAGAAATTGTTTGATAAATAAATTAAAAAGTAATTCTTATTAATGAAAAGTTATCGAATTAAAAGTTTTCCAAGTTCTTTAAATAAAGGTTAAAACTATTTTTAAGACCATTTTACACATACCTACAAATAAACCCACTTAATTACTAAGTAATGCCATACTTTCTTTCCGCGTGGTAGTTTTGCCTAAGACGACACACGTGCCCAACCTTCCGGCGTTTTACAACATCTTGCAACGTGTTCACCAGTCCATATACTAAACCCACCGGGGGAAAACTCTCTGAACCGTTCAAAATTACCGCAATTTGCACTGCTCCTTATTCTTCAAACCCAACTAATTCCTCTCTTCAACCATTAGTATATTACTAACGTTCAGATACAGATGGTCCTAGGTTTCCCCTCATTTCCTTTTTTTTACTTCATCCATCATCACTTTCTTATTTTTTTAATTTCCTGTAATTGTTTAAATTCAAAATTTTTTATCAATTTATTTCTTTCCGTTGTAGGCTCATTTAAACACGTGCAAACACGACGCCATACCGTGCACGAGCCATTGTGGTGCTCAGATACCACGGGTGCTTATGGAGGATCATTTAAAGTACACGTGTCCGCAAAGAAGGGCGCGATGCGAGTTTTGCAGCAAAGAGTTCACCGGACACACCTTGGAGGTAAGTGCAGGATAAATCGGGATGGTGAAGAGTCGTTATTAGGATTTATCGGTGGATTACGGGAGGAGGATGCGTGTGAAACACCATTTTGCAAAGTAATGAAAACGAATGGGGTCGTTTAAACCTCAATTGTTGATGATGGTTTGAAAATGGAAGAGTGATTGTAAATTTTTCTAAAATTTTTCATAAAGTTGGTTTAACACTATTCACCTAAATCTATCAATTATCCACCCAAACAGATTAGCAAATTCCTTCTTAAGTATTCAAGTATGCGACTAGTTCTCGGTTAACGTCCGTTTCTAATCAAACATTCCCAGATAGTACCAAGTCTACCAAGAAACACCGTGAGCTCGTTGCACTTACGGAGCCGTTCACCGGTACACACACAGGTTCTTGTGTTCGTTCATTCATGGTTCTTCTTCTCGTCCACTCCGCCGGTTTCATTCTCATGGTACCAAGAGTAACCTTGACTGACCTCGTCCATTTTCTCTCTTGCTCGTTTCCTCAGAATCGCGTTCACGTCCGCCACGATGTCCTGAACGAAGATAGCATAAGTAAACCAAAATAAACCTGAAATAAACTAGATATCTTTGGGAAAAGAAAAAACAAACATGAAAAGGAAGGATGTAATTCTAACATTGTTTGTGTTCAACGCTATGAATGTGCCTTTTTGTTGAAGTATCAATTTATTCGATGTGTTTTGGAATCCGGGTAACCTAGATGTTAGTTTCATGAAGATTAAGGATATTAGTGATGATTCATATGCATATTATTATCGTAAATAAATATTGTTTTGTATATTTTTTATAATTTCTATTCCATTTAATCACTTTTATAACCACACGAGAAGCGGAGTACACACATCATCAATTGCAAATATTTTAGAAACCGTTACACACAGCTACAAGAAATTATGTCATCCGAACGTTAACGTTTTCTTCTTCTCCAACCATTGTCCCAGTTTCTCTCGACATACCTGAGGCTTCTAACTTTGCAATTACAAAACTTTAACAAAAAATTGTTTATAACTCATCGCAGATTCCAACCTCTTAAACATATGATAAACTACTCTATAACTCATTTTCGTTTTGTTCATCGCCACATAAATACTTAGCATGTCAACGAGTTGAGAATCATTAACCTATTTTATTTCCGAATACACCGTAAAGATTTATAAGTTATGATTGTCTTTGTGGCGAAGAAAATCTTTTGGAATCTTAGTGTCTAGACTAATGAAGGTGGATTTCTAAATTTCTAAAAATAAGCTTCTCCTACAAACTAAACCAAATTTAAACTTACTTAAAGAAGTCATTCTATTTTTACCGTGAATTCTTAACTGGGTTCAATGAATGACTATTACTCGTATACATTCTCAAATCATCATCAAAGATCTTAATGGAATCATTTAATATGACTCATTGAATTTAATACATTAAAATCTCGATATAACAGACCTCGTGGAAATAGACTTCGGATGTAACGAACAAAATATACAAATCGGGTTATTCCTCAAGTTGCTTTATTCCATGTTCATAGATAAACTCGTGGTATATATTCAAAGAGTTCAAAGACGGTAGTTCTAGTTTTAATTGCTAGATTCTTATATATTTTAATTTGAATGAAAACTAGAACTAACACTAGACCTAGAACTAGACACATTCAGGTTTAGCCGTACGTCTCTTAAGACGGCTAACCCCGAATGTTGCTAATTCTAAATAAAATTTGTTATATAACGGACTTTTGGCTATAACATTTTTTTGTAACATTTTAGATATTCTTTAAACGTTTTCTAACCTCATTCTATTTTTATCATAAAGCTTAATTAACTCCTACCATCACGAATTCTCCAGTCATCACAAGAAAATTTTAAACGAAACCATTTAAAGTGACTCATAGCTATAAAATCCTTTTAGTTTTTTTTTTTCAAAGAAATCCTTTTATTTAATAGATCTTTTCTTTATTATAGAACCATATAGGATCCTGCGGGTACGAACCAATGTACTGTGAGAACAAGTGCGGAATGAAAATTCAACGTAGGCATTTGAGCCAACACAAGAACAACGAGTGTTCGAAACGATTGCTGGCTTGTCGATACTGTTCAAAAGAATTCGTGGCGGATACTTTAGCTGCTCACCACATAAAATGCGGTCGAGTGCCGGTTGCTTGTCCGAACAGGTGTGATTCGAACTTGTTGGCTAGAGAAGATCTCGATCTTCATCTTAAAGATCATTGCACGGTTTCTGTTATGAGTTGTAATTTTAAAGACGCCGGTTGCAGATTTAAGGTAAATATTAAAAAAAATAATAACAATACAATTATTAAGTTGATCATTTCATTTTATAGGGTCCTAGATATTCCATGGAAAAACATTTGGAAGAAAATTGTCAACAACATCTCACCTTAATGTGCAGCGTTGTAACAAAACAACAACATCAAATAAGTTCGTTAAAAAGCGCTTTATCGAGATTATCGTTAAATTATTCTGGGACTTTAATTTGGAAGATAAGCGATTTTTCTTCAAAAATGGGCGAGGCGAAAAATAAGGATGGAATGGAATTGGTTTCTCCTCCTTTTTATACTAGTCAATATGGTTATAAATTACAGGTAAATAAAAACTTAAATGATTCAAAATAATTTAATTAACAATTTTAATTTAATTTTAGGCTTCTCTTTTTCCAAATGGAAATGGAGCTGGAGAAGATACCCACATTTCGGTTTATATAAAAATTTTACCTGGAGAATACGACGCTTTATTAAGGTGGCCCTTTTCTCATTCCGTTTCGTTCACGTTGTTCGATCAATCGTCGTGTCCAGAAAAAGCTTGCAACATCGTCGAAAGTTTCATTCCAGATCCAACCTGGAAAAACTTTCAGCGACCAAGTAAAGAACCAGACTCCTTAGGATTTGGATTTCCAAGATTTGTCTCACATGAAATGTTGAAAAAACGGCATTTCATGAAAGATGACACAATGTTTATTCGAGTTAAAGTTGATCCAAGTAAAATTGTCGCTGTATAAAGATTTGTTATAAATATTTAATTTCCTGATCTCTTTTTGTAAACATATGTAAATATTATTTTTTGTAAATTTTATTAAAAAACGTAATAATTTATGGGATATATTTTAAGTTTATTATTATTTTTATTAATAAGACTGGATTGTATTTTTTATTAATTTTTTTTAAAGAACTTAAATCTTAAACATCGTATTTATGCAACTTATAAATATACCATCTAATAACAATAATATCGTTATCAAATAAATAATCGTTGTAATGGATAAATAACCACAATAACGCATATATTTAAAGTTTATACGTTTACTACTATAATTATTTAGTTCTTATATAGTTAGGTTGCTCAGGAAGGCATGTATAAAAAAGATTTTCTTTCATTCTTCTATACCAGTTCTTATAATTTCGTTTTTAATCTTTTTCGATTAAGGAAGGTACTTATTATATTTTTGTTGTATTTTTGTGATAGCTGGAGCGTACCAAAGGTTATTTTGTGTTAATAGTCGGATCTGTAAATATGTATGTACGTTAATTAATCCTCTTTTATTGTATCTGCATAGATATAATTGTATGTTTCGTCGAAAAAAGTCATATAAATATTAAGTTTGTAAGTTTTGATATGTGTGTTTGAGTTTAGTTATTAATAATGAATAAAAGTTCAACTTGTACTATAAAATGTTGTTTTATTTTATATGGTTTAAGGAGATCAAGTTAAGTATATTTAAGTCTAAATTTAAGCTCTTATAAATTGAATACTGCACTTGGGATATTCCCCATGTTAGTTGTTGTGTTTTTATATCTTAGTGCTTTCTTATAAGAGGTAGAAGAGTTTCGAGTGGCCCTTAATGTTTATGCAGATTTGTTATTTACATTCGTTTAAACTTTATTTAGTGGTAAAGATTTGATTTGATAGCAAGCTTCAAGATAACTGCAGCTTTTCCCATTTAAACAATACCCATTGATTGAAATTAGTGGTACCGAAAGATACTAAGTCATGATGTCCAAATATCTCGTCACATGGATATTTATATGATCTAGTTTTGTATGACTTAAAGCTTTCTTGAGCTTTTATTCAGCATTTGCAAATTTTTCAACTCCTAAAAAAAGACCTTAGAAGACCCTGGGTCTACTCCAAGACATAGTTTTAATTGTGTAAGATTATTTTAGACTTTAATAGCATAAATTACTTTAATTTTATTAGTATAATTAGTTAATAAAATTAAATCAAATAAATTACTATTTCATGTTCAAAACTTAGTGTTTCTAGTTACTTTTCATGCTTATACTGCCAATTACTTTTATAATCAAAATACTTTATTTTCGGTTTATAATTAAAATCCGAACAAACCAGTATCATCTAATTAGACGCAATCTATTTTTCTGTAAAATTAATTTAATAATAATGAATTAAATTTAATTAAAATTAAAACACTTAAAAAATTTTGTTATGTTGGCAACCATGTTTTTATAAACATAACCTCTCTCAACACGTGTTGACGTATTTTCACTACTTGTAAAACGTGCGTGCATTCTTTTGTGATTTACTTTTAAGCAACTGATTAAAATCATGGTTTCAAAAAAGAAAAAGAAGGTAAATACTTAATTAATTATATTAAAATAAATTTCTTCATCTTACATTCAATAATTTAGTACACAACCGGAGAAGGATCTCAATTTATGTCCCGAAAAAGTGCTCTCCGAAAACTCCAATTATCCTTAAACGATTTTCGTCGATTATGTATTCTAAAAGGTGTTTACCCGCGAGAACCTCGCAATCGAAAGCGTGCACAAAAAGGAACCCCTGGTATAAAAACTTTGTACCATGTGAAAGATATACAATTTTTAATGCACGAACCGATTATATGGAAATTAAGAGAATATAAGATATTTAATAGAAAAGTCGGACGTGCAAAAGCTGTTAAAGATTTCAAAAGTATGAGAAGATACCTCGATGCTCATCCAACTTTAAAATTAGATCATATTGTAAAAGAACGTTATCCAACGTTTATAGATGCTTTACAAGATTTAGATGATTGTTTAACTTTATGCTTTTTATTCAGTACTTTCCCTTCATTGGATCATATCCCTCGGGAACAATCTAATTTATGTAAAAGATTAACAATGGAATTTTTGCATGCAGTTATTGAAAGTAAAGCTTTAAGAAAAGTTTTTATTTCAATAAAAGGTTATTATTATCAAGCAGAAATAAAAGGCCAAACAATAACATGGATCGTTCCACATCACTTCAGTTTTGAACCACAAAAAAGGGCTGAAGTTGATTTTAAAATAATGTCAACATTTGTTGAGTTTTATACAATTATGTTAGGATTCGTTAATTTTCGTTTATACCATTGTTTAAATTTACATTATCCTCCAAAATTTGCAGCTGTTGAGGATATTGAAAAAAGTTTAGTTGATGAAAATGCTTTTGTTGCTGAGAGAGTAGCAGCTTTAAATTTTCCATTAGCTAAAACTGTTTCTGGAAAAGATGTAGATGATGAAAATATAGAAATTGATAGTTTTAATACAGAGGAGAATTCAGAAGCTTTGGAAGACGCTAAAAAAGAACAAGAACAAATAAAAAATTTAAAAACGTTATTAAAAGGATTAAAATTCTTTTTAAACCGTGAAGTTCCACGCGAACCACTCGTTTTTATTATACGTTGTCTTGGTGGAGAAGTATCTTGGGATAAAAAATCATTTGTTGGATCCACATTTCAAGAAAACGATGAAACCATCACCCATCAAATCGTTGATAGACCCTCAATGGAGAAACAGTATATTTCTAGATATTATATCCAACCACAATGGGTTTTTGATTGTGTTAATACAAGAACTTTACTTCCTGTTAACAAATATTTTATGGGTGAAGTTTTACCACCACATCTTTCACCATTTGTTGATAAAGATAGAGATCAGAGTTATGTTCCACCTGAGGAACAGGCGTTGTATGATGGAAATTTATTGGAGGACATGAAGAAACAGGAAAGTGAAGATGAAAAAGATCTTAGTGATAATGAGGAAGAAAAAATGGATGATGATGATGATGAAAACGGCGATGAAGCTAGTGATAAAGATGGTGGTGATGAGGAAATTGATGAAGAAAAAAATGTTAAGGTAAAAAAAATGAGATACTCCATTAATTCATATTTTATGAATTTAGTATGGTTTTCTTGTGTGATTTGTTAATCATTAAATATTTTTTAGACGCAGAAACTGTCAGTAAAACCGGGTGAAGTCTCCAAAGAACATCCAGGTGAGAAAAAACGCCAAGAACGTCAAGAATATAAGTTAAGAGAAAAAATGGTTAAAAAGAAACATAAAAATCTTTATAAAAGCATGATGAAAGCGCGACAAGATAGAGGAAAAGAAGCTTGGTTATTGAAGAAAAAACGACGACTAAATGAGGAAAAAGGCAAGATTGAGAAAAAGCAGACGAAACGCGAAAGTAAAGTGTAAGAAATGAGACCAGAAATAAAACTTGATTATTTTAATTTACTTGTTTTTGTTCTTTAATTGTTTTACTTTGTATTTTGGGATCATGTAAAAATTCGAATTAGAGACTTTGATGGATCTTTATGATTTTAATGTTTGCCCCTAAATCTACTCTATTATACAGAGTCGCTGATATGTATGGAAACGGTCGGTTATCTCCTAAAGTAAGATAGCTAGCAAAAAAAAGTTAAGATACAAAAGTTTTAGCGTTTTTTAGAAACTATTACAATAAAGACAAATTAAGTATACAGGGTCAGTCAAAAAGTTATGACGACACAAAGTTGTATTTTCTTTAATGGAACACCTGTATATTATTCCATATTTCGGTTCATCTCGAAATTCTAAACAAAATTCATGTAGCACATCATAAACCTAAACTTAACCATTTTCGTGATATTGAATTTTGAAAATCACTCTTATAAATTAGACAAAAATATTTTTGTCGAATATATTCATAATTCATCCAGTTACCTTTGAAAGTTTTTCATCTCCATAGCAACGCAGTTACATAACACATGTCAAAAATTGTTTGAATAATTTGCGCCCAAAGATAAATTATGTCACTAATTAGAAGTTTAGATGAATTGAAATATGGAATAATATACAGAGGGTGGTCCATTAAAGAAACCGTAACTTTGTTTCGTCATAACTTTTTGACTGATCCTGTATATTTAATTTTTTTTTTTTTTTTTAAATAACTACTAATACTTTATTGTAATAGATTCTAAAAAACACTAAAACTTTTGTATCTTAACATTTTTCGCTAACTATCTTACTTTAGGAGATAACTGACCGTTTCTATACATATCAGCGACTCTGTATACAGGTTGTATCTAAATTGATGCGATTTTAAGAGGTGTTTTTTTAACGAAAATTAAAGGGGGTGTTTCAATTAACTTTTTGGTCAAAACCCCTTCTCCTCCAAGTTATGGCCCTCTAAAGTTAAGGGTAAAAATCTGCAACTTTCTTATCTCTTTATATTTTACAACTAACAAATTGTTAGTTTGATCACAAAAAATAAAATAATGCTGAGATCAGTTTGACATAATTTCATTTCTTTGACTAATAATAACCAATCTCTGAATTAATTCTCCTGAGCCTGTGTATTATTTTATTTTTTTGTGATCAAACTAACAATTTTAGGAGAAAATGTCAAGAGACAAAAAAGTTACGTTTTGAATCCCACTATTTAAATCAAGTTTTTAAATAGAAAAATTTAGACGTATTAAAAAGTTGAATTCAATCAATTTATTATTTTAGTTTTCCATGTTATTTATTTGAATCCCACTTCAATTATAATAATGCCGGTACGAAATAAATACAAAAAAATATAATAATGCATATAACAATTAACTATACAAAGATTACCAATAAAATATGGACAACAATGATTGTGGTGTTTGAGAAAATTTAGATTTGTTAAAATTAACAATTATGTTTAAGAATGAAAATGTTACATAAACATTTTTTCAACTTACACAACGTAAAAAATCGCAATGAATGTCAAAAATGGTGTTTTCATTAAAAAAAAAAGTACAGATTTGAATTGTCACTAAATTTGTTTCATTTAATCTTCTGTTTCGCTATTTTCATCTTCTTCATCCAATTCTGGCATTGGAAATCTTAGTATAGCTGCTATTCCAGTCAATTGTTCCAATTCTAATTTAAAATCAATACTTAATCGAAAATTTATTTAAAAAGTTGATTTTACTTACGTTCACCTGAAATATGCATACTTGAAAAGATCTTTACTTCTCCGCCAGATTCCTTCACGGATTCCACTAATTGTACGTACTCTTTTCTAAGTGCAAGATTTTTACACCTAAATAAGTTATCAGAGATCAACAAAGTCTCAACAGCTTGGGATTCATTCGCTTTTTCAACATGTCTCTTTCCATAAAAAGCTTTAGCAGGTTCCAATTGAAGCATGGTATAAAAATTTTCCAGCAATTTCACTTCACCCGCCGCTTTTGTATCAGCCATTTTACTTACAACAGCAGGATCCTGGAGGACTTCTACAAAATGGTTAATATAATATAATTAAGATGGTTTCAAATTTTAAGGTTTATCAGTTACCTCTTAGAGAATGTTTAAATCCGGAAGATGAATGAACGAGCATAAATTTGCTTTTATTATCTAGCAATACCTTATTATCGGTTTTAACAGCCGTTTGGAACATGTACTCGTAAAATTGGTCTCGGACAAAGCCCGGGGAAGCTATCAAGACACATTTCACAATATCAAAATTTACATGGCGGAGTATACCTTGCATTACATTATCATAAAATTTGTTTAAACCCTAAAAAACAATTTTATTGTATTATAATTTATATGAAATAACAAATTATTAAAGAAATTGTTTTGATTGTTTGGATTTCTAATAATTTCTTTGTCAATGATTAATTACAAATCAAATACAGTGTGTTAATTAATTCTCGTACCCGACATAGTATGCAACCAATATCACAGAATGGTCTTGCAATGCAACGAAAGTTCCTAAAAACGATGGCGACAATTTATTAACTTTAAAAGACCGTCTAATCTGTTCGGTAAAAAATGTGGGCCTATCAAATGATCAGCGACGATGGCAGCTCAAACATTTACGGATAATTGTTGCTGATGATAGCCTTCTGCAATTTCATGTGGATTTTCTTCTGCCCATATGTGGTTATTGTAAAAATTGAAAATACCATCCTTCGAGAAAGATGCTTCATCGGTAAACAAAACTTCGGCTCCAAACTCAGGATTTTGAGCTATTTTGTCTTGCATCCATGTATAAAAAGCCAATCTTGGCGGAAAATTTCTTGGAAATAAGGCTTATACTCTTTGGATATAGTAGGGATACATAAGTTGTCTTTTCAAAATTCTCCAAACCATCGTGTGAGATAGATTTAAGTTGTGAGCAATTTTTCTGGTACTTGTGATCGGATTTTCATCAATTTCGTTGAAGACAGCCTCTTCTACTTGAGGATTTGCAACATAGGCTGCCCATTATCAGCAGTATTCCTTCTAAAATTCCATTTTCTCACAGTTGTTGGTGAATGCGTAGAAACAAGTTATGGTGTGGTACAGGACGATCAGGTTGTCTTTCTTGATACAACCGCCTTGCTTCTGCCGAATTACCGCACGCTATTGTTACTATTCGGTAAAGGTAATGCATTTCGCACATTTCAGTGTTTGCGTAATTCATTGTTAATTTTGTAATACAAGTTTACTTTTTGCAGGTACAAACTAATTGTTATTTTAACAGGAGGTAGCTTTTGTTATAAAATTTAAAGCCTACTTGTTAAAAATAAATTGTACAATTTTTTACACAAACGCTGAAATGTGCGAAATGCGTTACCTTTACGGTTTGGAGAATTTTGAAAAGACAACTTTTGTATCATTTTTTTTTTATTTTGCAATTATGAAGTTAACGCTTGCTTTTGTTACTTGTTCTAACGTTTACATAAATTTTGTTTAATTGTAAAATAAAATTTTTATTTCAAAAAATTGACCATGTTTTCCAACATAAAAGTTGATTTTTCTAGAAAACGGTCAACTTTAGAGTTCATGGCCTTCAGTACCTTTTTTGTGTAGAAAACATTGACGGTTCAAATGGGCGTCTCAAAACCGTACTTTTTCCAGTGGCGTAGAAGTTGGGGAGAAAAACAACCACTACCCTTTCAAAATCTTCACTAATTATGATTTAAAAAAAATTTTTTTCGCAGAAAACTTAGCTTATTACGAGTAGAAAATGCTTACAAACGCTGTTTTCTGTATGATAAACGGTTCCGGAGATATTCGCAAAAAACTTTTGTTTATTCAATTTCAACGCCCTGTATCTCGAAAATGGTGCATTTTAGAGGGTAAGTTGATACGAACTTTTATTCAAATTTTTGGACAAGCTATCACATCCTGAAGTCCTGCGCATATATTATGAAACATCCTGTATATCTAGATATATTTTAATAATTAAAAAAATATTTTAAATATAAAAAAGATCTAACTTTCTGTTCTTTTATTTAAAATAATTTTTAGTGTATCCATAGATTGAAATTAATGTCGAAAGTAGTGGTAAACCAACCGCTAGAAACAACAATAGTTCTAAAAAGAACTGTTTCCAAAAATATAAAGGCAGCAAAAAACGGTTAAAGAACAAAGAAAATACAATTGTTGTACTCACAAAATGTACGACAATCACAACAATAACGCAAGATCAGCTTTCAACATCTGGTTACTAATTTAAAATCATCCAAGCTACCACTACATATTGAGATATGCAGCCAATATTGCACAGCTCACATGGGTTTTGATAATTAATTAAAACAGTGTATTATTACTTCACATTTTTATACCTTTTCATGTTGTTGTACGAATCCTTTCCTTTTCCTAGGTATTGATACATCAATTTTAATTCTAACCAGCGTCATACTCGCCGTTATTAGACAAATATACGCAAGTCCTTCCTGCATAATAACAGCAGCAACATCAGCATTTTGCGCGGCATCGCAAGCGCTTTCCACACGATCAATTGCCACTGAATCCCATTCGTGTTTTCTTAACGTAAATTTCCTATTCAACTCTAAATCTAATGTATGGTAAGCCCCCATCTATAATCAAACAACAATTTTTATAAAAAAATTCTTATTTAATTAATTTTTTGTTGTTGTTTACCTTAACATATGGGTTTTCTTCAATGTTACGACCTTTTAACCGTAATTTACACGCCTGTGTGTCATACTCAATGTTTTCCACTGAAATTGTAAGTGTTGTACGGACCCGATTTGATGTTGATGAACCTGTTGAGGATTCCGTTTGGACTTTTCGTATTGTAGAACCACGAACTGAATCCCCTTCTGATATAAGATTGTAAGCATGCCATATGTCTTCTGATTCTTCCGGGATAAGACACACTGTCCTAAATTTTCACAAAACAAGAAATTAACCCTATTGAAAAAGTATTGGAAACAAATACCACAATTATTATTGCATAAGACAAACATATGTTGAGCTATATCAAATCCTGATGTATCAATATAACAAAATTAATATTTCTTAATCATTCCACAACAACAATTAATATCTAAAATCGTCTCTTTTTACATTTTGATATCAAAATTTATCAAATTACAACAAAATCACCTTCAACACAACCCATTTTTTATCTTTAACCCAATTAAGTAGGTATAACTTAAAAAATCTCAAAATTAAGCTAAAACCGTTTTGATCAACTCTAATTATTTATTCTAACGCAAAATAAGAACAAATTAGGTACTTTGGAGGTGGTACACGTGATACATAACCTCTCTAACCTACAAAAACAGGTCGTTTCAGTCAATTTTACTCACCCCTCGCCATCCTTATCCAATTCTTTGTAAACCAATTTCATTTTTGTAATGTTTTATTCATTTCATCGAAAGAAAACCACGCGAAACGTTCCAAAATCATCTCCGGTCTTTAAATTTATTATTATTTGACGGCGAGCTGTGTCACTTACACACGCTTTTTGACAGCCCGAGCTGTCATTTGTAGATGGCGTGACAATCGCGGGAACGATTGGCGCTGATTTGTCTAAAAAAGCAGCTGTTTGTGAAATTTGATTTGACAAGAGACAGCGAGTTCTCTTCGTTTTTGTGCTGCGAATTTTAACGGATTTTGTGTGATTTAATACTAGAAGATTTGTGAAAATAGTTTTAAACGTAAGTAGATTGAGTTTAGTTCGAGCTTTAGGTAACTTTTAGTTTTAAAGTGAAGGTTATTTTAAGTGAAAAATTGTAACTGTTTTTTTTTGAGAGTAATTATTGTTTAAAATGGCTTAAATTATGATGATTTTTGTAAAATGCGGTCCTTTGTTGAAGGTTACTGCGTAATTTTCGAGAGCGTTCAAAAATTTACGTATTCCAAGCTAAATATAGATTGGTTTGAGTTTAAAATTTTATTTTTGAGGTTATGTCATTCTGAAACAGGTAGGTTTTTTAGAAAGGCAATTGAAACAATTTACCTTACTTAATCTAATGAATGTAAACGTTTAAATTGTCTAAATGTAAATGTAGTAACGTTTTTTTAATCGTTAATTGTTGACATTTCAGTTTTCTTGTGAATTTTCATGAACCTTTTGCAGGTAAAACTGGGACAATAAATGGTTTAAATACCAAATCGATGACTCAAAATAGATTCTAAAGATCGTCATTTATATAAATATTTATTAACAAATTTGCGCCGTTTTTAGCATCTAAAAATAGCCATTTAAAACAATATTTCAGTTTAAAATAAATTTTAAAAAAGGGGTGTAAAGTGGCGTTGAGCCAGCTTTTTATTTATAAATATTTTTTTTTAATGTTTTCTGTTTAGCTTTTCGCATGTTCTCGACGAAATAAAAAAGAATAAAGTAGAACTTCCGCTTGACATACTCTGAATAGTAAATCAATATAAAAGTATATTACACATTAAGTCGAAGTTCCGGTGTTGGAAATTTTACGCTCTACTGTTCAAATGGTAATGTTGAAGCAGATGTTTTCAATCTGACCTGGTTCTTATTAGTAACGTTCTTCTTGAAATCACGATTTACATCTGTTACCTTCCGCGGTTTTTCGACCTTAACACCAAAGAAATGTATTCTATTTTTATGTTAATTGTTTTGCTTTGTATCCCAAAAATACTAAGGGTCAAGATCAATGTTATCTTTTAAACATATGTTAAACAGTGTTTTTGAACTGTGTTTTTAAAGCTGCTCTTTGAAGCATTAAATAATAAATCATATAATTCTAATTGTAGATAACTAATTGGTGAGTATTGTAATAATAAGTGCGTCTATTTGGAATGATCTTAGAAATTAGTTTCTTATAATCGAATGATTTTTGGTATGTGACTATGACGTTGTATTTTTTTGTGAAGATTTATGAACTGAAATAAAAACTGACGAAATATTATGTCCAGTGGATGTTTAATAAAGTTTGTATGCAAAATAGGTTCAAGATCTTGAACGAATTTATTTATACATGGTTCCAATTAATCGGCTTGAAGAAAATATTTCTTGGAAATACATTTTTTTTAATGTTTTCATGTATTGCAATCAGTTCAAAACCTTTCGACACTATTCGCAAAAAAATGTTATCTGTAACTCTAAAAAAATTTTAAGTTGTAAGGCTAAATGTAATGTTAATCATTGAGCCTCGGGCGCAAGCGAGCTTAATTACTCAAAAAATCTGATAAATACGAGGCTGCTCGCGGCCGAGGCGTTTCAATCAGTTTTAGGTTGATATAATGATAATTACTGGAACTAGGCAAGCAAACTCGGTTTAATTAGTAAAAACATCTACAACTTCACCTGATTTCTGTTTCTGAGAAGCTATAATATTATGATGTATGTATGTATTAAGTTTTTGGCGAGCGCTATACCTACGGCCGTCGAGCTTTGAAGTTCAATGATTTACTATCGTATTCCTTCTGCGCAACTGGCCAAAATAGATTTGCCAAGCTGTAGTGGCTCGAAATGGCACGTAGTGTATCTTCAACTCCAAGATCTGTTATCTTATAAGTGTTGTGGAATCATTAGCAGTTCTATCTTTATCTGTTGTATCTGTTCTATCTTATTGCCTCGTTTGGATTTGATTAGTGAATTCCAATAATTTGATCAGATTTAGATCAGACAGAAGCAGGCCTTCATCATTTTTCCTCGTCTCATCTCACAATAAATAATAATAAATTAATAAATAAATAATAAGAAGATTCCACTTTTCTTAATCAGAGATATTTTCGTTTTATTTGGTATTTATTTCTTTTAAGGTTCACAGCCAAAACAGCGGAGCTTAGCTGTCAATCCTCAAGGTAAACTGTCAATCATTAAAGTAGCACTGAAAATGTTGAACTCGGCAAGTCTAAATCTTTTAAGCTTATTAAATTGTTACTTTTCCAGTTGTTAAAAAACACCGCCGTAATTATTTTTCCACCGTTCATTTACATTTTGAAAGACTTCTTTACGACTTGATAGTGTATTTGAAGATTTCTATTGAGGATTTCAACTTGAAATGAGATGGGCAAGAACCGTGGTTGGGGAATTGCAGTTCAGTATCATCCGTGGTCTTTGAAATGTTGTTGGATAGTTCTGAAATCGAAATGACGTACATAGTCATGTTTATTTATTATTTAACGTATGAAATGAAGGCATAACAAAAATGGGTATATTGATACGTGGAGTCTGATCGTTCTGGTTTGTTATTCATTCATGATGCCAAGCGTTTGTCAGGATGAATTTTTCATCTGCGGCTGTGGCTGCTGTTTTGATCGGTGGCTTTCTGGATTTGGTGTGATAGGTGTTGGTTGCTCAAGACCGCCTGTATTACCTTGTAAGGGCATTTATACGGCATAGATTTTCTGGGCAATTCCACTGGTGTAGATTTGATTATCCGTGTAATCATTCCCATCGTGTTATTGAGCTGAGCAATGATTCTGTGGACATGAGGACTGTTAAACCATACTGGCTCATAGTATTCAGCCATTGAGAAGACGTGGCTCAAGGCCGTTAAGCGCATGGTGGAGGCCGACGCTTCCCATGTTGTTCCACTGAGCTTTTGTATAAAATTCTTCCCCGTTTTTAGTTTCTCCGCTGCTTTAATTTGTTCTTTGAAGGAGACCGTTCTCTCAAGTGTAACGCCTAGATATTTTGGTGTTTTGATGTGAGTAAGCCATGTGTTCTCGACTAGTTTATTGCTATTTTCGGAAGTACTTTCCCAGATTCTCTAGATTGGCTGTCGTGATCTTATCTGATTCTTCGAACGATTTACATCTTATTGCAAGAGCCCAGTTATCGGTGTAGCCCCGCTTTTTATATCTTGTTTCTAGCATAACTAAAAATCTAATGTTATCTAAATCTAATACCATCTGTAAACAAATAACAAATGTGATGGTTCTTATATCAGAACTCTTCTTCAATACTTATCCGACCGTATTAATCAGCATAGACGGGATGGTTTGAGGCGTAATGAAAAGAACAGTGTTGTAGCCACGCATGATGGTAAGGAAGAACATCACTTTGACAGACGTACTATGTCTGTCTTGGATAAGGAATTAATTTACAGAAAGTTTTTTTTTTGGAAATGGAGAGACTTGATCTGGCAATTTTAGAACTACTACAGAAAATTTAACCTCAGTTTATGCTTTTTTGGTTATTAATAGTTGGTCGCACTGTAGCTTTTTTATGCTTTTTTAGGTTTTTCTTATGAACTTTGATTTAATGTTCTTTTTCTTTCTCCGAAAGCTTACTAATGTTAGATGTTTCACACATACATAACAGGATACATGAGGAGTAAAGATAATAATTCTTCCCGAGCAAGATTTTGTAAATGGAGTTTTTTTAATGAGGCTAAGAAAGTATATTTTCAAGTTATCCTGTTTGTGTAGCGGATATATTTGCCACAGAGTCGAATACATTCCACACATTAGTATTACTGCAGCGAATTGTTGTGTTTGAATCTTCATTGACTAATTTTATTCTTGATTAAGGAGGCTGTATAGATTTATTACTTAATTATTGTACTTATTACCAATATTATTTTGTTTTTCTATTTTCGCAATTTTTCTGTTTAAAAATATCAAATAAAATTTCTTCTATTTATAGTTATAAAATAACACGGTGTCTTGCAATATTTAATGTCAAGGTGCACTTAAAACCTTTCAAAAATAGAGTTCTTGTAGACTTGTTTAGAGACATGTTTTCGAATTCATTATGCAACCAATTTGGTATTGTGTAACAAAACGAACTCACTTGAAATACTTCAAAAAGGATAAATCCATTTCCCTCAATCTGTGTGCATTAAGTTTGATGTTTATCCGATGTTCAAAATTGGGTTACATTTTACAAAATGAGATGTATAAACAATGTTTGGACTCTGTACTTCAGCCTTGATATTTTGCTCTAGATTCAGTAACTTGTCACGTTTTACGATTAATACCGGACGATATCTAAACCATACTGACATCTTGGTTAACTCATTCCAATGTTTATGATGTCTTAAAACGACTGTTGATCCCCTGACGATTGTATTTTCGCATTCACCAGCCATAATTGTGTCTCGTGTTGAAGACATTCGGGATAAGTACACGAGATGAGTGTATCGATGTGTCATGGTATAATGAGAATTTAAATATAACTTAATTTTTTTAATATAAGGGACGATTCTTTTATACGACTTACTGAAAACTTGTTATTACAATTAACTTCAGCAATTCGAAGCAACTTTACATAAGTTTCTTGATAGTTTGATAAGTTTCTGGAAATAATGAATTTTAAGATTGGTTAAACGCAAATTCCAAAAAAATTTGGTGAAGAATATACAACAAATTTTTTTTTTCCAAGAAAAAATTGTTTTTCAAAATAGCTTTGTTTTGAATTTCTCAAAATTCTTTTAAACATATTACTAATTGTGTTTAGTGTTGAGTAGTGAAACCAAACAAAACGTAGTTGTCCTTATTCTGGATTTGATGTGGGCGAAGTCCATTCCGGAGGAGAGGTTCGTCCTTCCCGACGGCGTCTGATTCGGTTGGTCTGGCGTCTTGGAATAAATCCAGAGCGACGCCACTCGCAGCATCAGTTCGTTTCAAGCGTCGAGACGCTCAACAACATTCACAACAACGCTAATCGGCAGCGAATCTCGAGACGAAACTTGTTTGAATTGCTATGAAAGATGCACTACAAGAAAAC